AGTGTAGTGCCACGTAAGTGACACTTACACCCACCCCCCTTCCTCTCAGTTGCACTGCAAATACTCAGGAGTTAGGAGCGATACCTTCGATCTATCTAACTGCTCTGGGTTCGTTTCAATCATAAAAAGCTTTGGCTTTGCGTTAACTTGAGGGCAAGAATGCTGGAATTTTCCAATTGAATTACCTTTGTTTCATGGTCTTATTCTCTTTACCTATCTCCATCTTTATCTTTTATTTTTGTATTATACTGCTTGCTGTAGATTTGACTTTTTATATCTTCTGCCTTAGCTCGGATCTGATGCATGCACAGTAGGTAGATGGGAAGCTTTTCTCATTTTCAAGATTGTTCCAAGATTTAATTTTTTGCTCTCTATGCTGATGTATAGATATATTTATGACGACCCATTATGTGATTTTGTCATTATTGATTGTTTACTATTGTTTTGGTAAATCTAATTGCACTTATTGTACTTACCCATGTTGTCAATTGTTAAAAATTGCTTCTTTTTGTTATTTTGTTCTTGTAGTTAGCTAGTGTGTGGTGATTCTTGTGCTGTGTTAGTTGAAGTATGATGAATATGTGTGCTGTGATTGTTTTCTGTTAACTTGAAATTTGTTGGAAAATGCAGAAATTGAGGGTTTCAGCTCATAGAGAAACTGCAATTCCAATGGGAGATTTCAATGGTGCAGAGTACATAGGGATTAATGAGGTTCCATCTCCCAGAGCAAATAATGCTAGGAAAGTTTCAGTCTTGCCTTTAGTTTTCCTTATTTTTTATGAGGTTTCTGGTGGTCCTTTTGGTGTTGAGGACACTGTGCAGGCAGCTGGTCCTCTTCTTGCTCTTTTGGGGTTCTTGGTTTTCCCATTCATATGGAGTATTCCTGAGGCTCTAATTACAGCTGAAATGGGCACTATGTTCCCTGAAAATGGTGGTTATGTTGTGTGGGTATCATCTGCTTTAGGTCCATATTGGGGGTTTCAGCAAGGTTGGATGAAATGGCTGAGTGGAGTCATTGACAATGCACTTTACCCCGTTATGTTCTTAGATTACCTGAAATCAGCTATCCCTGCATTAGGTGGTGGCCTTCCTAGAACTATTGCGGTTTTGGCCCTTACTGTGGTTCTCACTTACATGAATTACAGAGGTTTAACTATTGTTGGATGGGTTGCTGTTTCGCTTGGTATATTGTCAATTCTTCCTTTTGTGGTTATTGGGCTCATTTCGATTCCCAAATTAAAGCCTGAAAGATGGTTAGTGGCCGATGTACGCAGTGTTGATTGGAACTTGTATCTGAATACTCTCTTCTGGAATCTGAATTATTGGGACTCGATAAGTACTCTTGCTGGAGAAGTACATAACCCAAAGAAGACTCTGCCCAAGGCTTTGTTTTATGCTGTGATTCTAGTCGTTCTGTCTTACTTTTTCCCTTTATTGATTGGTACTGGAGCTGTTCCCCTCCAGCGTGACTTGTGGACTGACGGCTATTTCTCTGATATTGCAAAAATGCTGGGTGGAGTCTGGCTTAGAGTTTGGATTCAAGGGGCTGCTGCAATGTCAAATATGGGGATGTTTGTAGCCGAGATGAGCAGCGACTCTTTCCAGTTACTTGGTATGGCGGAGAGGGGGATGCTCCCTGAGTTCTTCGCGAAGAGATCTTGTTATGGAACTCCTTTACTTGGGATTCTCTTCTCAGCTTCTGGTGTGGTTTTGCTCTCATGGCTGAGCTTTCAGGAGATAGTAGCAGCAGAAAATTTCTTGTATTGCTTTGGAATGATCTTGGAATTTATTGCATTTGTATGGTTAAGGATAAAATGCCCCAATGCACCACGCCCATTCAAGATACCGGGGGGAACTGTTGGAGCAATCCTGTTGTGTATACCTCCAGCCATTCTCATATGTGTCGTTTTGGCCTTCTCTTCAATCAAAGTGATGGTTGTAAGCCTCGTTGCCGTTGCAATTGGGTTGGTGATGCAACCATGTCTTAAGTTTATTGAGAAGAAGAGATGGTTGAAGTTCTCCGTTAGTTCTGATCTTCCTGATATTACAACACATGGATCCTTACTTCATTGATTCCGTAATAAGCAGTGGCTTTATATGGTACAACTATTCCACTAACATGTCAGCAGTGGCACTGTGTCAAATCCTTATCATGGAGTGCATTGAAATAGAGCGAAACCAGTAGAAGTGGCTGTCAGAGTTTGGATGATCCCTCTCTTTTAAGGATCTTATGGTAGCTTCTAAACTTGTAAGTTTTATTGCCCTGCTCTTGTGCCTACTTGTGTTAGTGTCTAGTAGCTACGATGTCCAGAGCATATTGCAGAAGTGGTTTATCCAATGTTGGATGATCCTTTTCTCTCTAAGGATCTTATAGCGATAGATTCTCATCTTGTAGTATGTATTTCCCTGCACACGTGCCTATTTATAGTTAGTGTCAAGTTGCATTAGTGATAATCATTCAGGAATTGCTTCAGAAATAGACAGCGATTTGTTTTTCCTGAATTGACTACATTAGTAGTGCAATGCACAGTGAGCTAGTAAGACTAATAATAGTAGAGGTGTAACTGAATCCATATGTTCACAAATGAACCGCCGTTATGTCTGTTTGAACTCATGATGTTTATTTAATAAACAAACTCAAGACTTTTATTCACCGTACATACTTCAATATGGTATCCAAAGTTTGAACAGAGAGATATCCTGGGTTCAAATCTTACCATCATCATCGATGAGACTTCACAAGACTTCTTTTTCATTTACACTAACGTACATTCACATAGTCGAGAATGCAGATCGCATCTATAGATTTGAAAATGATGAAGGATTCTAGAGTCTCAACTAGATATAAGGAATTTATTGATGGCAACAGCTTTGCCCCTAACTCTCCTGGTAGTCAAAAGATGATGCCGCAGCTCAGCCCACGTAAAAGATACATATTTTCTAGGATTGGAAACTGGATCAATAAGCTGAGGAGGGCATTCAATTGTTGCACTGCTTGTTGGATTCAAGAAATATGCCATTGATAGCCTTTGTTTTTCCTTATTCACCACTGCCCTGTGTATAACACTTTTCAACCTTCCATTTGTCCAAGCCTGCAAGAAACAAAGGTTCAATACTTACTTGAAAATACACAAAAACATGTGTGTTTGGTATGACAAAAGTCATTTTTCATGAAAAATGTTTTTCTGTCAATACCAAACATACTTTAAGAAAATTGCAGCCTGATCATTGTAGTAATTATGATTTTTTTTTTGAGAGATAGATAGATAGAGAATGACCTCAAGGGTGTCGCCGATATTGATGACAAATGAATTGGGAAGAGGGCGGACTCCAATCCATTGTTTGTCATCCTTGAGGATTTGAAGGCCACCAACCTGATCTTGATACAATATGGTCAAGGTTTGTGGATCTGCATGGATCCCTATTCCTACTATCTTCTCTGGGAGGGGACAAGGGGGATATCTGCTTATCCTGAATATAGTAGCCTCCTTTTCTTCAAAGTTTTTGCTGAAGAAATCATTTGCTAGACCTAATCCATGAGCCAACATCTCCATTATAATCATTCCTAGCTTGTCCATCTCTTTCATGTACTCTATCATTGCATTGCTGTTCAGTTTATCAGAGTCAAAACCAGCAAAATCAGCATTTTTGGTAAGATTAGTTAGTTAAATTAAAGCGTACTCTTTCTAGCAACTTAGACTTAGATCTGGTCACACAATTTAACGTGGTATTAATAAGAGCAGGTCGAGGTCCTATGTTCAAAGAGATTTCCATGTGCTTGTCCCATCAAAATGAATCAAGCTCGCACAGTAGGGGACTGATTGATGATATAAGTGTTGTATGTTTACCTAAATGTGTGGTATTGTTCCCCATAGACCTTTTTGGCGAATTGGACAACCATTTCAGGTGACTGAAGCAGCTGCAAGATTTCAGCCCAAGGCAAGTTTTGCTCATACTCAGGATTTGAGGCGTAATACCCTAACGGCAAGCTGGATGTTTTGCCACCTTTGAGCTTTTGTTCCATGGGAAGATCAAAAAGCTCGTGCAAGCGACTGGTATAATTCTCAACGATCTCACTAGGTACCCCATGATCCACAAGCTTAAAGAATCCCCATTTTTCGCTTGCTTTCACCATATCTTGGCAGACATTTTCGTATAGTTCTTGACTGTCCCAAATACCATTAAGACTAATCACTGGAATATCGTTAATTACATCTCCGAAATCATCGTGCTTTATTGCAGGCCATTCTTCCTCAGACCATATGAAATCTTTGACTTGCATTTTGTTGCCATTCATTGAAAGTGTCTCAACATGGTCTTCTTCAACTCCAGGTGCCATTGTAGTACTTGATATTTTTTACTTAACGTGTTTTCTGTCTCTATATACAGAAATTTAATTTGAGGTGTCCTTTTCGGGCTCAAAATAATGGAGAGATTTAAGAAAAGAAAAATGGTACTATCTCTTGCATTGTCGAGGCCATTGTTTTCTTGTTGTTGCCACCGATGTACCGAATAGGAAAGATCTCTAGGATTCTTCAGCACTAAGTTCATTTAGAAAATATTCATTAATCAAAATTCATGTTTAAGCAAATAAACACTACGAATCTCAACCAAAGACTGAAACCAAAAAAAAAAAAAAAAAAAAGACATCTGCATATCTATGAACTTGAAACTCTAGTACAAAAAATTATGAGCATAAAAATGATCACGAAAATCTAGTACATATAGAGTACAGCAGTCTTAACAAAATAGGATATAGGCATGACCTATGATATGTTAATGTCTAGCTAAGAGATCAGTTCAAAATTTGAAACAAAAGCTAGCGCGATGCATAAAGCATTCCGCATCCACTCAGGGTTGGCGGAAGGGCCGCACACCAAAGGGTGTGATGTAGATAGCCTATATTAATGCAAGCATTAATGACGGCTTCAACGTAGTTCAAAATTTGAAATGCTCAGCATAAATATAGGAACTATAGTGACTTTGGCTATGCCATTCAACTAGAAGTCCGTGTCCTCTTGAGATGGTTCAACATTCAAGTCGAAGGGTCTCGGCTCTTTAGATTTCGTCGGGAAACTCTGTGTGTCTTTGGCTGCAACAACAAGAATCAGGCTTCAGTTCCAAATTTTTTATATTTATGGTAGGACGGAGGAGGATTAGTTGGGAGGGAAAAAAACCTCGAGAATTAGCTCGACTTGTCCTCGCCAAAGTAGATGAACCGAGATCTTTTTGCAATCTCGTTGAATCGTGGAACATCAACGTATTGTGCAGCTTCATCTCTTCTGGTAATGGTGATTTGACTTTATGAAAACTATAATTATTAACCCAGGCGCCTGTGCGCTCTGATACTGATGGAATTACCAGTTTTTCTACCTTCAAATAGTGAAGGACCTGCATCAAATAAGATCATCAGCTCAAAATACTACTCCAATAGCTATTGCTAGCCGTCCATAAAAAGTGAGAATAAATAATAACTTGAAAATAAGACAAGTTACCAGCTACGATAGGTTAAAACATATCGATATAGTATACAACTGAGATAAAATTCTTACTGATTCAATGGTAACCATTAGCTCTCTGCACATTCCTTTTCTCCTATATTCCTTGTTTGTTGCAATTAAGGGCATTTCAGCAAGCTTTGTTCCATGGATCCTTCGAATATTAACTAGATTTTTAGCACAAAAAAAGCATACTTATGACAATCTGAAGCTCAATCTGGTTTAAGAGAGATATATAATATACCTTATGGATGCTGCAGAAATGATTTCCTCATTCTTTTCTAAAATAATAGTATAAAAGCCCCTGAAATTCACCCTGCTAAAATTTGACCTGCAAGACGTTTTCATTAAAACATAAAAAAGGCAGCCCGCTACACTAAGCTCCGTTATGCGCGGGGTCCCGGAAGGGCCGGACCACAAGGGTCTATTGTACGCAACCTTGCTCTGCATTTCTGCAAGAGGCTGTTTCCACGGTTTGAATCCGTAATCTTCTGATCACATGGCAATAACTTTACCAGAGTTACGCCAACCTGTGACTTCTTTCTATGTCTCATTAGAACATAGAAAGAGTTAAACATTTTATATTTCCTTTGTGCAATATATGATGAGAGACTGTAACTTACCCACAGTTGTAGACCACACTTTTAATGACATCAATTCTAGTATGTCTGTCTGTAATTTGCTCAAAACAGTCTTCCATAAGTCTTCGCGCCACGGCTAGCTTGGAGTGGCATACAGTTCTTTGATAATCGTCTTCTATATTAATCCCAGAGCCATCATCTGTGTTCTTAAGTAATGTCCATTTGTAGCTTCCCTCGGTCTCATGTTCAACACCAACAATGCTCCTCTCCAATGTATCATAGACCTTCACAATTATGATTCATTTCAAAAGCATCTTAGTTATCATTAACAACTAATAAGACTATTGGTCCTTTATAAGCACAAGGTCAATGTGTAGTTCTAAGCCTAATATAGAGACAGAAAATGATAGGTGATTTCTTCTAATATGTCTAAGCCTTAGTGCGCAAAGTTATTCAATACCTGTGCTTAGTGGCGGAGGCAGGATTTCCTCTAAGAGGGTTCAAAAAAGAAAAAAATTAAAAGAAATTGTGGCCAGTGAGAATTGAACCAATGAACTCACAAAGGTTTTGAAGCCCCCTGACCACTAAGCGATGCCTTTGTGTTGTGTCAAGGGATTCAAAATGTAATATATAGTGGCACAACGGATTTTGCCTTATATGTATACTGTAATTTTACGGCGAAGGGGGTTCTTCCCCCCCCCCCCCCAAA